GCTACGGAGGGGCTTCCGGAGGGGGCTACGGAGGGGGCTCCGGAGGGGGCAGTGGAGGTGGTTATGGGAGTGGCGGTGGCGGCAGCTACGGAGGGAGCAGCAAAGGCAGCAGCAAGTCCGGGGCCCAAAGCGGTGGCTCCTCCAAACTGCAAATCATCCAAACTTCTACCAACACCTCCCACAAGCACATTGTGGAGTAGAGGCGAAGTTTTCTGTGACCCCTCGCTCCTGTCCCCTCCCTCACGCCCTTCTGATCCCCTCTCGCTTACCTTTTCCTGATGGGTCTCAGCAGTTTTGCCAATAAAGTCCTCCGGATGGGAAGCCCCAGACAGCAGATCTATCTGTGGAGGGCACTGGCTGGCAGTCAGAACACAGCCAGTCACAGTCTCAACTCAGACTCCCCCTAGAGGGCCTACTCCTGTCCCACCCAAGGCCCAGGTGGAGTAAAGAGCATCCACAAGACAGATAATGGAAAGTTCACGGCAAGCACACCAGGTTTCTCAGTCCCAGGCTGCCTTTCCTGCACCTGGGCTGCCTTGGGAACAAGAATCCATCCCTCAGGGACCCACAAAATGAATGGGTGAAGGGAGGCTGATGGCAAGACAAACTAGCTTGCAAGGGGCTCCTCTGTGCAGGGACCACTTTCTCCTCTTGGTCTGTAGCCTCACACTACCATGTTGATGGAGAGTGTGGATTGCCTGCCCACATCAATCACCCATGTCATATCTGGGCCTGGTTCTGAATCTCTGTCTCAAGAAGCAGTATCCCCTGAAAGAACAGTCCCCGTGGGAACATTTCAGAGGGCCTGAGTTTTTGTCCACAGGTAGGACTGTAGTTAGCAGCGAACGGAGGAGTTGATGGACAAGCAACCAAGTTCTGTTCTGTCCTGCCCCTCCTGGCAGCTCCATTCTTTGAAAGCCTGGTCCTTTCTGAAATTTCCTTAACAGCCCTCCTGAGAATTGTCCAATAGATCGGAGCACATGCAGCCCAGCTCTGCTCTATCCAGGTGCTCAGGCCCTGAGCAATTTGAGGATAAGACTTGGGTCTTGGGGAGTTCAGTCCAAACCAGGCTACGAGCTTCCTTTTATTTGCAAGGTAACTTAACTCTCTTTCCTAGACCACAAGATACCTTTTGTCTCCTCTCCTCTGTGGCTGAGCAGTGAGAGAACTGGACTCTTCATTTTGGGTCTTAACATAAGATGCTTGAGATGTGCTACAGGGACAAGAAAGGGGAAGTATTGGCCAACTAATAGGCCTTGAGAGAAAGAAGGTAGCTTTGCTTCTCAGATCTGGTCATCTTTACTGGCTTGCTCACTGAAGTCCTGACATGAGGTCCAAGCTCATGATTCTCTTGGATGTGTTCAGTGTGGGTCCCTTGGGCAGTGCTGTGACATCATCATTTCCTGGTTGAAGGTTGTACCTTGAAGGATTTGACATTTCTGGTGTTTCTACAATAAACTTCTCTGTGATTCCAAACCACTCTTTGGTCAGGAGATGAGTTATTCTTTAATTTCTGCAGGCCCAAATTCATATTTGGGAAGTAAAGTTTATTATTTTTACTATTTTTTATTGCAAGAGTAATACACGATCTTGAAAAACCTTGTGGACATAATCTTATTAATCCTTAAAGTGATCATTGTTACACATTTGTTCAAAAGGCATTTATTTAGCTCTCACTGTGTGGCAGGCAGTGGCCTAGGCACGGAGAATGCAATGCTGAATGAACACATTTCTGAATCTGAAGGATGCTTACAACCAAAATGATATGGGGGAGGGAAGGTTAGAGGGAGGAGAAATCAGAGCATGTGTCCAGCACAACAGAAGCAATGGGACCTGCAGCAGGTGTCAATGCTGGGAAAGGGAAGTCCCAACAGGTTCCTGGAGGGCTGGAAAGTGGAACAGAGCTGAGGAACAGGGCAGGTGTGGGCTGGAGGTCAGGAAAGGGCCCTCCACAGTCTGCTCAGACTCAAAGATAAGAAACGCTGAATGTGTGTGAGTCAGAGGGGGCAGCCTCACAGGAGAAACTGAGCTAGGGAGACAAGAAGCTGAGCCCAGTGGGGGCCATGGGCATGGGTGTCTTTCATTGATGCCTCTGAGGGAAGTGTAGATGCAGAAATTCAAGAATGGAACAAGTTAAGCTATTGCCTTATCCTACATGGTATTTCTGAGTCTGTGTAAAGAAGTCACGTAAAAGGTGTGACCTACTCTCATTCCCAGAAGGAATACAGATGGAACTTGGATATGAGATTCCCTGAAATATTACGGCAACTCATATTATAAGACACTGTGTTCTCAGGAACACCCCTGCATTCTCCCTGAAAAGTTTCTCCACATCTCACCTGTCTTGGTGGCAGGCCTTCCGGGGCAGGGGCTGGGAAAGGGAAAGGTCGGCGGGCAGCTGCCTGGAAGGAAGGCGAGGGAGCAGACCGATGCAGTTCTTACACTTGAAGTCAAAGACAAAGGGCACAAGGACAAGAAAAGGAAGACGGGTGTAAACATGGTTTAGAGTGGTTAGTTGCGGCAACACATGAGCCAATAGGTATGGTGGCTGCTGGAGACAGGCAGGGGGACCAAGAAAAGAGTATTGTGCAGAGCCTGCTTTGTCTCTTCTGTAGTCAGACCACTCTGAGAACATTGCTAAATAGGAGCCCATTCAGAGGACAGTGGCCAAGACAGTGGTGATGGGGAGTCAGAAACCTGACCACATGAGGACGATGGAGGGTCCTGGAGAAGAGAAGTCTTTGTGGGGGGGAGATGTGGTGGCTAACTGCAAAGATTTGAAGAGCTTCCCTAGCAAAGAGGGGTTGGCCCCAGCTGATGACCCAGATGGACAGGTGGGGACTGCAGCAGATTTGGCTCAATATAAGAAGCACCATTGCATTGATCCTGAGACGGGAGAGGGAGAGGCCACATGGGAAATTAGCACATTTCAAGCAGAGGTTGGTTAACCACTTGGCAGGAGGTTGAGGGAGGAGTGAAGGATGGGTGGGGATATGTGTATGGCAGCATTTCATATCTTTGCTGCCCTAAGAATTCATGTGATGAAGCCTGAGAAAAAAGGAAAAATGGAATTCTACTTTCTAGTTTATATTTGGGAAAATGAAGATCAGATACCAGGGGCGGATCAAGTCATGGAGAGGCCAAGAGCTCTAGCCATGATTTTAAAATGAACCCAAGTTTTCTGGCACCATCAGAATTATAGCAGGGTGTGGACTTGATTGTCCCTGGATCATACGTGTGCGTGTGATATTATTAGGGAATTCACATTGGTTCTGGGGAAAAGCACATGGGCAAGGCCAACCCGAGGTCATCTTTCCCATCCTTCTCGTGTGCAGAAACTGGGGTTGTTCCAGAAAACATGGACCTGTCTTTTCTCTTCAGAAGCCTTGACCACCTCAGTCGTGGTCAAGGAGGGAAACATGTGGCTGAATTCTAGGAATGTTGGAACGGAGATTCCTCAGAGCAGGGGTGTGAGAATGAAGGCCCAAGAAAGAACATTTCATTGAAGAGGATCTCGGAGTCTAAATGAGAAGCCTTGATGTGATATTCTGGGCCTGAGCAAAGGGGGCTAGCACTAAAAGACACAGGGAGAGGTTTCCTGGGATCAACATTATTCCTGTTACAGACAAGGAACAATCCCATCGGGGCAACGAGCAATTCCCTACCTCTTTACCATATACAAAATGCTCCCGCATGCATGATCTCCTCTGATTCTCCTGGTCCTGGGAAAGGGCTGGGAGACCACGTGCGGGGCTTCTGTGGTCCTTCTGGAAACCATGGAGCACTCCATCCCTGTTTCTGGTCAATGCTATTCCCACAAGGCAGATACTCAGAGGGAGAAGCAAGCAGGTCCATTCATTTATCAACAGAGGGGCAGCAGTGAACACTGCACTCAGAGCAGCAAGACGCCCAGGGAAAGCTTGCCAGCTGCTCCTCCCTCTGAGAGGCCATGGCAGGGCGGGGCGCTCTGGAAATCTAAATTTAATTCCACCAGCTTCTCATCTACATAGATTTCAATCTGGGACATGGTGAACAGGAGGAGCAACCATTGGCCTAATACAATTCCAACTCTGTCTGACCTAGGACAAGGTGTGCATTTCTGGGCTGGGAAAGTCCTTGGTTTAAGAAAGTCTCTCAAGAACGTCGCCTCACCCTCAATTACCGGCCGGTTGGCCCAGGATGTGTCTTCAAATTATAAACCGTGTGCTTCGACAGTCCTCTTTCAAGCACAGTGTAACCCCCTGATTTTGATGGACCTGCTGCTCTGGTTCTGTCAGCTTTCTGATTAGTACAGGAAATTGTATGTCTTTCGGTTGATCAGCACTCTGTTACGAGGCTGAGCTGGGAAATTGGGATGTTGAAGATTCTTGAGTGTGGAAGGCTAGTTCTGACTGTCTCAATGCCAGGCCCAAAGGGCTTGGGGGAGGGTGCTCTGAGTGTGTGGCCCGGCTTCCACATGTGTCCCATAGCGCTTAGCCCCGGGGATCATCCTCACACAGAGCAGGTATTCCACAGTGGGAGTAATTCCCAGCCCAGCCTCATTTCTTTCCCCTCAGGTGTGCTCAGCAGTCCTTCCTGTATGCGATGGGCCCCTAGTTTCCCTGGTACAGATTTATGAACCCCTTCAGGATTTCTCCCATAAGACAGCTTCCCTTCAAGAACTTAAAACTTCCCTTCTGAGTCTTTGCACCATTTCCAGTGAAACAGGGGCTTGTTCTAAAGCTTTTCCTGATTGTTATGTAATCTTCTGGGCCCTTTCAAATGTAAGGGTGCGAGAGAATCCCTTCTCCTCTCTCTGTCTCTCATCTACCACACTTTAGTTTCCCTGAAAAGTAGATACAGTCCTTATTTTACAGACAAGGAAGCTTAGGAGGCTCAGAGAGGGTAAATGATCTACCTAGGGTTGCACAGCTACAGATTTGCAGTCCGGAGTGGTGCCCCGTCTGGTTGAGTCCATGCCTCAAAGCTACACAACCTGCACCTTTCTCTCCTACATGCTCACCTGTGGCTTCCTCCTTTCGGGCTCCTACGCTGCTCTGGCACTGCTAGTGGGTCACTCCTGGGGGCCTCCTTCTTTGCTGTCTGTCCTGAACAGGCTGCCCCTGGTTCTGTACTTCTCCTTGCTGTATAAGAAGCCTCAGCTCCTCCTCTGCTGGCTGTCAGCTTTCAACATCTCACCCCGCCTCTCCATTGTTTGTGATTTTTCTTTATGCTTCCCAGGCTTCGGCTTTCCCCACTCCCCTGAAATTTCTTTCTCCCACGTTCCTGGTGGAGTCCCGCAGGGCTGGGTGGCTTGTCATTGCATGTTTCTCGTCAACTTTTTTTTCAGTCCCATCCCTCAAAAATTTCTCAAAACATCACCACACCTGCCCCTGCCCCTGCCAATAGCCTGCCTGTGGCAGCTTCATCTCCGTGATCAGTTCTGGGGTGTGTGCGTGGGTCCTTGGGGTTGGAGGTGCTCTGTTATCCAGCACTGATGGTGGTACCCCTCAGGTGCAGGGGACCATGTAGGAGGCTGGGGGAAGAGGGGGGTTGGGATTGCACCCAAAGACATGGAGGGTTTAGTCTTGCTTTTTATAAGCAAGGAATCAGCAAACATACACATATACACACACGCACACACACGTGAAAATGAGCCAATCTATATATCAATATGCACCTGAATCTGGCAGCAATTGAGCTTAGAAAAAGAAACCAATGGAGCAGTTGAGTGGTGTTATCAAGGAAAACTCCCTGGAGGAGCCAACCTATCCACTGCCTGGTATTGCGTAGGAGATGTAGGCATTTGCCCTCGAAGCCTGATGGACCAAACACAGATTCAGGCCCAGAGGCTCATGAATGGAAACCTTAGGTGCTCCAGAGCTAGGTTATGGATAGGAGTATGAAGAGAATTGCCAAGGCAGCTGGAAGGCCTTTCAGAGAAGAGCTGAGTAGAAGTGGGCTTGGGAGATGGAGAGGACTAGGCCCAAAGGGAAGAAGGGGGCTGAGCAATCCGAGCAGAGCACGGGGGTGGGAAGCTCAAGGTGAGGGTGGTCAGGAAGTCGAGGTGATGCTGGCGGTGAAGCAGGCCAGTGACAGCAGGAGCCCGTGGGCTGAAGGCAGGAGCCCGCGGGTCTGACGAGCTTGGCTTCTCGGTTACCACCTGGGGGAAGTCGGGAACGTATTTAAGAACCTAAGTTGCCTTTTCTTTAACATGGGCTAATGACTACCACCTCGCGGGCTTTGTGTGATGTTTAAATGAGACGTAGCTCCTTGCACAGAGTTAGTGCCTGTGGATATTAGTGCCTTTTTCTCTCTTTCATTTTGTCTTTATTTTATAAAGCTGGGATTCACAAATAAGCCAGGAATGAGAGTGTGTGGTTAGCTTTAATATCCCACTTTAATAACATCGCTTACCCTCCACGGTCCTGGGGACATCACAGGAAATGATGAAGTTGGTTAGCAAGCAACAGGGCAGTTTCCAGCCTTCTTGGGTTGCCTCAAAAGTAAGCAGTGGAAAGAGAGTAGGAGTTCAGTGCAGAAACTGGAAGATTCCCAGGCAGTGATTATATGACTTGGAGACATTTCTGATTTCTTTGGGTCTGCCTTCTCACGTCTTTCATAGGCAGGTTAGATGGTGGGGGTATTTGAGTTTCGGCAGATGGGAATATTCTCTGTGCACTCATTCATGGGGACCAGTTCCACTTGCTTGTCCCTGAGCCTCTTCTCCAGTTTAGCAGGAAGAACACTTGAATTGAAACCAGAAAACCCAAGTGCTAGTCCCGGATGTGCCTTTTCCTAGCTGAAGCATCTAAGCAAGTCATTTAATCTCTCTGATCCTCAGTTTTCTGTTTTGTAAAAACATCTAGACCGCCTAGTTTTCAGGATTTTTGTCAGGAAAGTGTTCATGTATGTTTTTGTTGAGGTGAACTCTGCAAATGTAAGCCGATGGTGGTCTTTATGCCTTCTTGTTCCTTCTAGTCCCTGTGTCTCTCCCTCCTCATGGTGGCAGCTAGAGTAAGTTTTTCAGCTCTGTAAGTTGTCTATTGATTACCTGACCACCCACTCCTTTGATTTTTCTCTACGTTAGTTTCTCAGTTTGAGGATGGAAGCACGAATCACTGCAAAGATCTGCTGTTGGCCGGCAGACGTGAGAGAATGATACACACATGCACATATGCATGCATGCAAACACGTATGCACGCCCCTCCAAGTGCTAGGAGGAATGGGTTGTGCAGAGTGATACGGCTCTTGAGGGAGTAGGCTGAACTAAAAGGATTCTGATTGCCTGTCAGATTAGGCAACAGTCATTACCACACCTGACCATCCCAGGTCCCATTGTCCCTAGTCAGAAACAAGATCTGTATTACTCATCCTCTATCGAGATGGCTGGTTTAGCAGCCTAAGGATGCTATTGTCAACACAGTTTCAGACAACAGTGCCATGGAGATGGTGGGGAAGGAGGAGGCGCAGCGGAGAGGTGAGGGGCACTTTCTGGAGGAAGGTATAGGACAAAAACTGTGGGAGAAGAGAAGGGACAAAGCTCAGTGGCTGGAGAGGGCTGACACTCGGCTGTCCTGGTTCAGAACCACAGAGCGACAGGTCCAGATGGTTTTCACAGACCCCTCTTCTCCTGCATATCTTGTACTACACAGTGGAGCCCGCCATACAGGTCTACAATTTACCACTTAGAGTTGCTTAGGGCCAGCTGAAGTTAGCAGCGGCTTCTCCTCGCTGAGTCTCCAATTCTGTGTTCACATGCAAGAGTGCGGAGCATACCAGGCTTCCAAGAAGTCTCAAGATGAAAGTCTGCTCAGGGTTTGGGTCTTTCCAGATCTCAATGCCACTACTACCCGTTAAGAATGATCAGTGCTGCTCTCCAGGAAGGACCCCGGGATTTCCTGGCCCATTGCAGTGCATGCTGGGCACCTTTGCACCTGGACAGGAGCAAAATCTACCCATGAACTCTATGCCTACAATCTCCTCTTCTCAGCGTGAACTGAAAACATTTTCCAAGCACGTGCATGTGTCTGGAGTCAAGGATTCAAAAGGATATAAAACGGGCCTCCTGCCACTGGAGCGCTCTGCAGCGAGACAGCCTCCACGCTGCCTGTCTTTACATAAAGTGAGGAGCACAACCCCAATTCAGTTGCTGTGCAGTCATACAACATGCTGGTTAGGATCTTGCACGCTGTAGCTCAGCATCCTAGGTTCAAATCCCAGCCCTGCCACTTACCATCTAGGTAAACTTGGGCAAGCTATTCAACCTCTGTGCCTCGGTCTCCTCATTTTAAAAATGGGTAGCATAACAGCAGCTATCTCAAAGTTGTGAAAATTAAGTAAGTTAATACATATAACATGTGTTGAACAGTGCTTGGTGCTTGGTCAGTTTTCTATACATGTTAACTATTATTATTGTTACTATCGCAGTTACTATTGTCCAGAAATAAGTATAGCTTCTCAGATCAAGCTTTCCAGACTCCCTTTCAAATCTTACATTCATCTCTCCCTATAGTCTAGTGTGAGGCTTGAACCACCTGTCAAGTCCTACCTCCACCCCTTTGCTTTACAAAATGTATGAAATAGCTTCTATCTGCTCACCTCACTGCTTCATATGCTTTTCAACGGGCATGTGGATGGCATCTGTTTTCTGTTGCTGGCATCTCTGTCTTTTGCCCTGGTCTATCTTTGAGGAAAAGGAACAACTGGAAAATTTAGAAAGAACATGTCTTTTCCTTCTGGTCCTTCCAGATCAGCTACCCCCATCTTGTTTGATGACAGCTTCTTTTCCTCTAATATTAGTACAGTGCATGTATAAAGCTTTTCCTCTAATATTAGTACAGTGCATGTATAAAGCTAACATTGAATAAAAATAGCTTCTTTTGCTTGCTCACTTATTAAAGTTCTGAGCTCTGACTTTGTGTCAGAAGATAAAACTTGGTGAGATCTGGGGTCTGGAGGGCAGATCTCAGAAATGGGCCGAGAGCTCCTTCTGAGATGAAGTGTGGGGAACTGTACCTGCCACGCCTGGGGAGAGAGTAACTTAGTAGCTTACAAGGGCAAAACAAGAATGGGAACTTGCATATTTTTGTGGCAGGAGGTTATGAAATCTTATCAAGCAGCACCAGGTGGCAGATGTAGGGTCCCTTTTTCCTAAAGTCGCAAGCACTTGTAGAGAGATTTTGTCCGATAAAATGATTACCACATGAGCAATCCTGCATGCACAGCAACTTTGAGAACCATCCTGGGAGTGAGCGGTGTAGTGTTCATTGTATTGTTGAGGCTCGTAAAAATCTTGCATGGCTGCAGGCAAGCCAAACCCTTGAGTAGCACTGCGTCCCGCTGACTCGAGGACCAAGCCCAATCACTCCCTGTATATAAGGCGAGGTTTCTGTGCTTGGGGTAGAGGAGTGATAGCTCCTTCCCTTTCTCCACTTTGCTTCTACTCTCTCTAAGTCAACATGAGTCGGCACTTTAGTTCCAGGTCTGGGTACCGGAGCGGAGGAGGCTTCAGCTCCGGCTCTGCCGGGGTGGTCAGCTCACAACGCAGGGCCACTAGCTGCTCTGTGCGCCGAAGCGGAGGCGGTGGTGGGAGATTTTCAGGTGGAGGATGTGGTGGAGGAGGTGCCGGTGGTGGCTTTGGAAGTCGAAGTCTTGTAAGCCTTGGTGGCAGTAAAAGTATCTCCATGAGTGTGGCTAGAGGGGGTGGACGTAGTGGTTTTGGTGGTGGTTATGGCTTTGGGGGTGGTGGATTTGGTGGAGGTGGATTTGGTGGTAGTTTTGGCAGCGGTGGTTTTGGTGGTGGCTTTGGCAGTGGAGGTGGTTTTGGTGGAGGTGGTTTTGGTGGAGGTGGTTTTGGTGGTGGCTTTGGGCCTGCCTGCCCCCCTGGTGGCATACAGGAAGTCACCATCAACCAGAGCCTTCTGCAGCCCCTCAATGTGGAGATTGACCCTGAGATCCAGAAAGTAAAGTCTCAAGAAAGAGAGCAAATCAAGACCCTCAACAACCAATTTGCCTCCTTCATTGACAAGGTGAGTTCACCTGCTCAGTGCGCCAGGAGACTGCTCCTGGTCCATTTGAGAGTGGCGCAGCCAAGGCATGCTTGGGTTTGAGCCTCAATTTTCTGTGTTTAGATGACTAAAAGGGTATTCTGTAGAATTGTCTTCTAGGAGATATATTAGAAGTATGCTTGTGAATGACAAAGGGGTCTAAGGTTCACATAAATGTAGGTCAATCTGACATCACTTGAAGCATTTTTTAATTCAGATCTTGGGCTAAATTGGGACTTACATATGTTGAATGAGGATAATGGAAATGGGCTAACTCAGTCTTCTAGGGTGCAAATGAGAACGCTGAAAAAAATCTTCCAAAGCATAAAAAAGAAGTTGAGTGTAAACAGAGTGCATTGGATATTGTAGCAGAAAGTATATAGTTGGTGCCAAACATCTGCTGTCAAAAGGGGAGGTCTGTCCTCTGAGAATTTCACATTGGTACCATATCAGGGTGGAGATTTTTGAAGCATCTGCTCTGAAAAAACATGTAAACCATTTTTTTTTTTTTTTTTTACTTTTTGTTTAATCATCAATAATAATGTCAAAGCAAGTTATCCACAATAGATTTGGAATTCAATTTTGGATTTTCCAAATACACCTTTCAACTATGTGTGTGTTCAGGAAATGCAAACCAATTTTTATGGTAACTGACCTAAAAAAATTGGAAGGCAAATCTCTTAAGTGTCATGTATCTATTTCAAAGTGCGGTTGCAGTCATTTCATATGTGCTTTGCTATTTGGTTTTTGTGTAGCTACTCTCTTCTAAAGTTTCAACTGAAATAGTACTATAATTGCCACTCTCCAGGAAATTAAAGCTTCACTGAATTAACAGTGAGTTGGGTTTTGTTTTGAAGATGATGCTGACTTGATCACCCTCTTTCTATTTTCTGTTTATCATGGTCAGGGAGATGGGAACCAAAGTTCTTTGCTGAGTGAGATACAGGCCTCACTATGTGGCAGCCCTTGGTGCCCAGTGGCCATAGGGCTCCACTTCTGTATCAGTGGGTAATGAGGTTTTGTGTTTTTAGGTGCGGTTCCTGGAGCAGCAGAACCAGGTGCTGCAAACAAAATGGGAACTGCTGCAGCAGGTGAATACCTCCACTAGGACCTACGACTTGGCCCCTTACTTTGAGTCGTACATCAACAGTCTTAGAAGCAGAGTGGACCAGCTGAAGGGCGATCAGTCTCGAATGGATTCGGAGTTGAAGAACATGCAAGACCTGGTGGAAGATTACCGGAACAAGTAAGGGCGCCTGGCCGGGCGATTCCTGACTTCTGTTCTAAAACATCTCCAGAAAGTGGCAAGCTGAGACTATGAACAGAATGTAACAATGTCTTTTCTTAGGTTAGAGGCAAATCAATCTGGCATTTTCAGAAATCTTCATCTTCTTAGAATCTGGAAATTGTTTAGTGACTTTATTGCTCAGAAGAAAGGGGTGGCCCAAATGTCCTAGGCCAGGAATAGGAAAGTGATGAGAAGCGGTACCAGTTTTAGTCTAGAAAGTGAAACTTCACTCCTCGCCTTCTCTGAATCTCCCACTCACTTGCAGGTATGAGGAAGAGATCAACAAACGGACAAACGCAGAGAATGAATTCGTGACTGTCAAGAAGGTGAGCAAATTCTGTAGGACGGACCTCACATCTAAAATCAACAATAGAACAGGGTCTTCAATGATGAAGCAGAAAGAAGTCATGATGTGGACACGCAGGCATTGGGCCAGATAAATATCTGAAGCAGAGTTTCCCTTCCACATTACCATGGACCTGGACTTATCCAGGCTCTGCTTGTCCAAGGCCCGCAGCACTTCATGTAGTAAGCGGGGAGGCGAGTTCTCAGCAAATCAGGCAAGCTCCTTTGTGTGTGACCCCAGGGGTGGGGCGGTTTAGGGATTCTGACCCACCTGTGATATAAAGGTGTGGAATAGACCCCAAACACCTTTTCTACTTGGAACATCCCTTCACAGCTAGTGAGAGGGATTTGCCCTGGGAAGACTCTGACTTCAGGCTGTCTATTGTTCCCCTAGGATGTGGATACTGCTTACATGGCCAAGGTGGACCTTCAGGCCAAAGCTGACAATTTGCGTCAGGAAATTGATTTCTTCACAACACTCTACCAAGTGGTAAGCCCTCTAATTTCGACCACGTTTACCAAGTAGAGAACTTTTACACCCGAACCCACCACTGTCCAGAAGAATAGAGATATATCTTCCATCTCCTGATCCCTCCCTCTAAGTTGTTTTCTGTTTTAACACTATAAGAGTCACTGAACTATTATGTCTTGCAGGAGCTGTCTCAGATGCAGACTCATATCAGCGACACCAATGTCATCCTCTCCATGGACAATAACCGCAAACTGGACCTGGACAGCATCATCGCTGAGGTCAAGAACCAGTACGAGGAGATCGCCCAGAGGAGCAAGACTGAGGCTGAAGCCCTGTACCAGACCAAGGTGAATGGGTTGAATGTCTGGTCAGTTTTCCCAAAACGTCTTGTTTTACTACCCTATGTTTTCCCTTATATTTGCGTGTGTGAACCAGGGTATATACTCTGTCACATCTAATTGACCTGATCCATCATCTTTAGTATGAAGAGCTCCAGATCACTGCTGGCAAACATGGGGACAACGTGCAGAGTTCGAAGATGGAGATTTCTGAGCTGAATCGGATGATCCAGAGACTTAGGGCTGAAATCAACAGTGTAAAGAAGCAGGTACTTGCGTCTTCCTACTTAGGAGGTGGCGAGTGAGAGCAAAGGCAGCGAAGAGGATTCAGGGTAGGCATTTAGAAGAATGCCAAGGGGTAGAGAGGCCTTGACTCAAGCCAAGAGAGGTTGCTGCATCACCATTAAGGGCTTTTAAGGTAAGCAACATGGTGATGTGCTATCCAGAGGCAGGTGAATGCATGAAGTGACTTAAGTTCTTGTGGTTCTGTTGGACCCAGAGTACTGGCCTCACTGGGGTGGAGAGATCCATTTGAGATAAGAAGGCCAAGGTGGGATTAGGTATTGAGAGAGTGTGTAACGTGCTGATTCTCCTCGCTCAGATCTCTGGGCTGCAGCAGTCCATCAGCGATGCCGAGCAGCGTGGTGAGAATGCCCTCAAAGACGCCCAGGGCAAGCTGAATGAGCTGGAGGACGCCCTGCACCAGGCCAAGGAGGACATGGCCCGCCTGCTGCGTGACTACCAGGAGCTGATGAACACCAAGCTGGCTCTGGACGTGGAGATTGCCACTTACAGGGCCCTCTTGGAAGGAGAGGAAATCAGGTGAGAAGGGCCCTGGGCAGTTTGGCTCTTTATGGGCTTCCTCCCTTGCAAGCTGACTGCTGTTGAAAGATGCAGCTGTGTGACCGCAGCTTGTCCTGGGCTCGGGGAGAGGAAAGGTACACGTGCAGGAGGAAAGGCTTGCTTTCACTTTGGGAGCCAGAGTCCACACTTTTCTTTTTTTGAGGGCTATAGCTTCTCAAGAAGTGCTCTGAGATGGAGCAATTTATTCTTCATCTGGGCTGGCTCAGATGCCACCTGGCCAAAGTCAGAGGTAACCTGCATTAGCTGCAACTCTTGACTAATTTAGACTGAGATTTCTTTCTGTTTGTGAGAAAAATGACAGAGTTTTGGGAGGCTAGAGGGGACCGGATTGGTTTTAGGTCAAAGAGGAGCCCCAGGTGGGAGCTTTGGGACAGCTGAGAGGGCCTGGGGAGGCGCTTGTGAAGTTGGAGGGTGACCAGAGCTTCACTTTTCTCTCTCCTGCAGGATGTCTGGAGAGTGCACCCCGAACGTGAGCGTGTGTAAGTACAACTCAGGGGCCTGTGCAGGCTTCTCAGGGGTTTGTGCAGGTTTGGCTGGGTTGGAAAGGGAGCTGGGATGGAAGGTAACTGAGTGTCCCCTTGCAGCTGTGAGCACCAGCCACACCAGCATCAGCGGAGGTGGTGGCCGAGGAGGCGGCGGCAGCTACGGCGGCGGCGGCAGTTACGGAGGCGGCGGCAGTTACGGAGGCGGCGGCAGTTACGGAGGCGGCGGCAGTTACGGAGGCGGCGGCAGTTACGGAGGCGGCGGCAGTTACGGAGGCGGCGGCAGTTACGGAGGCGGCGGCAGTTACGGAGGCGGCGGCAGTTACGGAGGCGGCGGCAGTTACGGAGGCGGCGGCAGTTACGGAGGCGGCGGCAGTTACGGAGGCGGCGGCAGTTACGGAGGCGGCGGCAGTTACGGAGGCGGCGGCAGTTACGGAGGCGGCGGCAGTTACGGAGGCGGCGGCAGTTACGGAGGCGGCGGCAGTTACGGAGGCGGCGGCAGTTACGGAGGCGGCGGCAGTTACGGAGGCGGCGGCAGTTACGGAGGCGGCGGCAGTTACGGAGGCGGCGGCAGTTACGGAGGCGGCGGCAGTTACGGAGGCGGCGGCAGTTACGGAGGCGGCGGCAGTTACGGAGGCGGCGGCAGTTACGGAGGCGGCGGCAGTTACGGAGGCGGCGGCAGTTACGGAGGCGGCGGCAGTTACGGAGGCGGCGGCAGTTACGGAGGCGGCGGCAGTTACGGAGGCGGCGGCAGTTACGGAGGCGGCGGCAGTTACGGAGGCGGCGGCAGTTACGGAGGCGGCGGCAGTTACGGAGGCNCGGAAGCAGCTTCGGCGGGTCCGCTGGAGGCCGGGGATCCAGCTCTGGGGCCACGAAGACCTCCGGTGGCAGTTCCAGCGTGAAGTTTACTTCTAGCAGCTATTCCCGAGGGACCAGATAAAGCGGCGTTAGCTCTCCCTCTCCATCACTACCAAACATGCTGGCTGAGATTAAGGCCAGTTGCCCCAGCCTTACTGAAGAAATAAGCTACTTGTTACCTTGGCTCCCCAGCTCTTTCCTTTCTGCTCTGCTTCCCAAAGAAGTTTTAAGTCTGCGGCAAGCTCAGCCTCTGGCTCCGACCCTGCTCTGTGCTTTGTCTCAGAAACAGCTGAGCAGCGCCCCTGAGGCACATTACACTTCAAAGCGCCTCCCCAGGCAGCCGGAGGCGGAGGGCGGCTGAGACCCAAGGCTGCTTTGTCTTGCAATGAACACGCCAGCTTATCACTATCCTATCTCTTGCAGCAAGCTCTGTGCTGCTTTGGTTTTGTATGTGTGGTGTAAGCCAGTTGATTGACTTTGTGGACAGGTCTTAAACTCCTCTTTCCTTGTGTTGCTGCAATAAACTGCATTTGAAATTCCCTGAGTCTCAAATTCCTTTGTTCATGGCACTTTGATGGGTACTTTGTGGGAGGGAAAGAAGACCCTAGAGCCGCATGGCATATGGGGAAGCTGGGACACACGAACATGAGCTATATGGGGAGGCTGTTCAGGCAACGTGTAGCTTTAAATATTTAACATTTAACTACACGAGCTCTTTTCCAAAGGGCAGATATGTCATGGAGAAGTGGAGAGACTGGGGTAGCAGGTTTTATTCATCTGAGAAGGTTTTCTTGACAAGGGCAGTGAGCAAGCAGGTTGGGAAAGAGGAGTTTGGCATTGAGAAGAGGGGAAAGTATTACATGGAAAAGTAATTGTTCACGTGAACAGCCAGTGGTGAGAATGGGTAACACAGGTCAACAGCTACTGCAGACAGAATACAGACTTTGGTCTGGGGAGTTCAGGAACCAAGGGTGGTAGTGGGGCACTGGATATCTATTTCCTTTCTCTTTCAGGCTTCTACCCAAAGCTCTACCTAATCTAAGTTCATGTGTGGACATATCGCCTATACTTGTGGGTAGTACAATGGGATAGCATAGTGGCCAGAAGCATGGAAGTCTGGGTTCAGGTATGCTTGGATTTGGGTCTGACCACCATCATTTACTAGCTCAGTAATTATGTACAAGTTACAGACCTCTCTGCACCTCAGCTCTATGACCTCTAAAATGGGGATAATAAGCCTCCCTTGTGGGAATGATTGTGCGAATGAGTAAGATGACTAGCGTATAGTAAGCCCTCAGTGAGTGCCAGTTTCAACAGTAACGGTGGTGATGATGATCTGTCAGTTATAGCATTGTCGCTTTGGTCTCAAACGCATGAGAGAGGGATGTGCGAACCAGAATGTCCATGTAGTTTGCTCTAAGGAACCGATGAACGTCAGCTTCCCAGTACTTCTATGACCAGGAAAAAGTCAGCTTCTCTGAAGATCAGTTTTTGTGGCTTCCAATTAGAAAAAATATTCTTAGCTTCAGTGTCAACCCAAGGGGGAATGGAGGGTATACAGATCAATAAGGATTTTATGGAAGTACAGTTGGTGAGCTTTAGCTCTCCCCTCCAGTCACCCCTTCATCAGAGCTGCTTCCTGTCTGGACAGCATGCTAGTGGATAGAAAGAACAACAACTCTGACTTAGAGTTTCATTTACTGCGGTATTTAAGGGCAGGCAAAGGAAAATAACCCACAGTTTACAGGATGTGTGGATCCTTGGACAAGTCACTCAACCATTTTGAGTCTCAGTTTTCTTGTAGGTTAAATGGGGATGAGACTATTTGCCTCTAGACATCAGAAGGATGAAATACATAACTTGAAAAGGCTTTGTGAACTGTGAATGTGTTACACAGAAGTAGTTAAGTAAAATTTTAAAAGAGTGACAAAGAAGTAGAAGGCAGTGACTGGCTGTCAGGGGCCACCAAGAAGGAAAGTAACTTGATCTGGTCCCTGTGGCCCAGTGACAGCTCTGTAGGGACATAAAATTGATTTTCTTAATGCACTTGTCAAATCTGCTCTGGAGGACAAATATTTTTGAACCAAACACATAAGAGAGGGATGTGTGAACCAGAATGTCCATGTTTTAGCTTGTGGGGGAAACTACAGTTTTAGTGACTGAAATACCAGAGCCTCCCGTGCCTGTTACCAACATACCTGGGATTTAGCCACAAAAGGAGATTTAGAACAGTGGGAATTGGGTGGCCTTGAGGGAGGGCAATGTTTTACCTTCTCCATGGGAGAGTAGACCTCTAGGGCCACAGCCTGGGACATACACATTTTCTTTAGTCACATTTAAGTATTGGGAATACCCCTGCTCACCTTGTTTGGATTTGGGTTTTCTTCATAAGGTCAGACATGAAATAGAGACCACTATAATTAACAGTGAAACTTACCAAACTTGTAAAGCCACAAGGACCAAATGAAAACCCTGTGTAAGTCAGTACATAATATAGAACTAAACTGAGTAGGATAAAATGCCCAAATACATTAGTATTAGAAAGACTAAAGGAAAAATCTGGATTCTTTTTAGTTCAATGAATAGTTCCTGCACACATACCATGTGTCAGGGATGAGTGAACGTTGGAGTACTATGATGAGTGTGACATGGTTTTGTTCTCAAAGAGCTTAGAAACTTGGGGGATGGAGAGTATGTAAACATGTTATTACAATGCACATGACCCACACAATGGTAGAAACATACAAGGCAAAGAATGGTTCATATGGAAGTGAGGGTGATTAAAAGTGATGCCTGGCAGAGTTTTAGAGGATAAATAGGAGTTTGCCAGGCAGATAAAGACATTTAAGGCAGAGAAGGACACTTCAGGCAGATGGAATAATATGAGCAAAGACATGAAAGAATAAAATTGCATAAAGTATTTGGCCATCCGAAGGAACATGAGTGGTAAGAAACGAGGGTGAAGAGTTACTCAGATCCAATCAAGAAAGACTTGTGGGCACTCAATGGAGTCTGGACTATAGTTTGTAGGTCAGAAGTTCTCAGGTGGGGTTTGGGGAGTTACTGGCTTATTACAACCTACTATGTACTGGGCCACTGAGAGGGAAACGGGTTGCTTCACTGCTAGTGGAATAAGAATCGAGCTGAACCACGGTTCAGCTTGTACTTGAATATTCCCTAAGGAATCTGGTCTGCCTATGGAGATCTCCCCAGGGAAATGTCATTTTCCAGACATTTTATGGCTGAAACATCTATGATAGGTGAGGAAGAGCCAGTAAAGGGATTTAATAGAGCGACTTGGTCAGATTGGTGTGTCAATGGGACCACTCAGGTCAGATTGGAGGGGCCCATATTGGAGGTAGGAAGAGTTGTTGGGAGATTATTGCAAAGGTGCAGGCAAAAGATGATTAAAATCTGCATTCTAGTTCAAGTCCTTAGAGGTAGTAGAGTGGCCAGAAATGAGGAAGAGAATGTGCATTCTGGAGATAGGAGTCAATTCATTCGGACTTGGTGAGGAATTGAATGTTGGGTGCTTGGGGTGAGGCAAAGGGAAGAGTCCAGGGTGGCTCCATGTTCCTGGTTTGGGTAATAACAATATAGTGAGAGGGCTCATGGGAAGAAATGGTGGGTTAGTTCTTCTGAGGTACCTCTGCTCTATCCAGGTAATTATTGGGGCTAGACATGTACACTGAAGAGTCATCAAATTTGAAATTTAGAGTAAACCATCAGATAACTCAGGAAGAAGGGGTAGGAGGAGAATTGCAGAGAACTCCTAGTAAAAAAGCCAGACATATATGGGAGAAACTTGATCAAGTGGAGAAAATTTAAAGGACATAATATTAGTGATAATTCTTCCTGGGCTATCCAGCCAAGATACTGAGGTCCGCCGGATCTGGTGATGACCTCTCAAAATCATAGACTCCAGTATTTTATCCTTGCCTGCCCAGTGTAGATTTGAAACTTGGTGCTTATCCAAGTAACAATATTCAGAAGGAGAGAAATCCACAAGCACAAGTGTGACAAAAGTTCTCCTATCTCCCACCACTGGGTTCCCTTTCTCTGTGGCAACCATAGTCTTGGGTGTCCTTGCAAAGGTATCAATACACTTGCAAGCAAAAATGTACATATGTATTTATTCTCCTTTCTCAGATGTCCTGCCACCCTGGCCTTCCCACCCCAGCAGACAGGACTGTCTCCACTCCACTGAGATGGGAGTTGCATGCTCTTCAGCAGATAAGCCTTTGGAACCTGGCTGTGGCTTTGGCCAATATGGCACAGCCTATGACCCAGTCTCAGCATTTTTCCCTTACTTTAAGATATCTGCACACATCTCTTCTTCTTGGGTCTAGACCATTGTGTCTCCTTCCTAGAGTCTCAACTGGAAGGACAGAATCCTTCCCTCCACCCATTGACCAACAGAGCCTTGGGGCTCCCTTTGGGCCATTCTTCTTCCTTGAATGGCCACAATGTTGTAGCCATCAATTTGGTGGCCAGTCTTCCTTCTATATCTTGCCAAAGTTTCTTTCCATAGCTGTGTGGCTCTTACACAGCCACCTCTCTAATAGAGCTCTTGGCTCCATCTAACTCTAGAGAAGAACAATTTTCCCACCTTCTTCTCCCTCCTCCCCTGCCCACACACACCAACTGTGTCCTCTCCAAAAATTCCAGGCCCAAGACAACCATCTAGTGCCCCTGGGAAAACAACAGAATCCAACAACTCCTCCTGCAACACTTGCTTCTCAGATCCTAGTTCAGTTTAGCTCAGTTCCACCATCCCACTCCTTCCCTTGGGGAAGGATCTTCACTAGACACAGGGGCTGTTCACTAGCTCATTGAAGAGAGAATTCCATAAGATGATCTTCAACCAGAGCCTATGGTTTCACATGGAATTTTAGGAGCCAAGTCCACAGGACAGATTTCACTGGAATGGGAACCTTCTATCAGTCACTTGGAGGAACTATGAGGAAGCCTCATACAACTGCCCAGTTCTAACAAACCAGAGAAACATACCTGAGTGGACGGAGTGCGAGTGGGGAGCACTGAAGAAACATCACGGAGTCCAGTAAGAGAGGGGGGGTGTAGGAAGGGGGAGTCCCCCCTGAAGCCTGTGCTGGGCTCCGAGCCCGGAGGCTTGGAGGCTGCAAAGCTCCCTCCCCTTGGGAGTGTGGATGGCATCCAAAAGCAGGGACCCCACACCCAGAGCGACGAGGGGAAGGAGCGCCCCGTGCACAGGGCAGAGGGGCCCAGGGGAGTGGTGAGTCCCAGAGGGATTGGCGCCTTCCTAGGAAACAAAGCCTTTAGTGGCTTCTAGTGCTGGGGGGGGGGGCGACCATAGGGAAGGCTGTCCCAAGGTCTGTGGCACCGGAGTGGTAAGGGACCAGAGGAGCGCGCTGAGCAGCCGCACACAGGGACCCTCTGCCTCCCTGTGAGGTATTGTGTTGAGCCCCAGAAAGCACTGAATCTGCATGGCATGGGGGAGGGGAGGAGACCTCCCGCCCTGAGCTCCCGGTGCGAAGAGGC